CGCCACACCAGGACATGCAGTGTCCCATTCGGGACATTTCACTTACTATGCACGCTGCGATCTCTCGGCTTGTAAATCTCCGCCCGTCCCAGATAAGAGGCTGAAGAGGGTGTGTTGGCGGCCGCACTGAGTTTAATTACATTGTCAACAGAGAATAATTGTAATTGATTTCTGCTTCTCTTCCAGAGCCCACTGAGCACGCCGACAGACAGTGGTGCGCACAGCCACACACACACGCCCAACACATCTAGTTTTGATTCTCACGAAGCTTTTACATGGTTCATTTAAAGTAGCAGAACATGCGTTCCACGCAGCAAAGTAAAGACCAGGTGTATCAGGAACGATTTCTTACTCGTTTCTTGAGTTTCGTTCCCCATTAATCATTGTCACCAAAGTGGGGGGTTCCATGCTGCTTTAGACCATCAAATATAACTGAACATCATTTTCCTAAAAGAGAGCCTAGACTCTGCTGCATCTTTACTGTTGTTGGGGGGGGGTCTCCAATTTTGGCTGAGGTTTCTAGGTGTCTCCTCCTGCTTGTTAATTATATGAGCTGGTGTAATTAAATGATCAGCCCCACTGTTGACTGAGCGATAAGAAACCGAATCCGTCTGAGGCTCCTGCAAAGCTGTGATTGAGCGGAGGTCACCCAGAGGCCCAGGGCTCCCACCACAACCACCACCATCATCATCATCAGCAGCAGCAGCAGCAGCAGTCCTGACTAGCAGAGCCTTCTCACTTCACAGTTTAAACTGGGGCCTTAATTCTAACTTCCTTAGAAAAAGCAGTTAAATGTGTTCTGTTACTGAATGATAGCTGTTCTTCATGCAGCTATTCCTTATTAAACAAGAGCACAAAGCAAACTTCTTAAGGTCATGATTTGGCATTCAAAAAGTGATCAGGGATGTGCAATGGGATGTGCACAAACTACTCATTTAAAAACAAGTAGGCCTATAAGACAACATTGAAACAAGCAGAGTTAAATAAAATGCTGCAAAGATTTTAATCTTTATAACTATGTTAGGAGACAGCTGGGCTTACAAAATCAACGCTCATTGTGGGCCTCAGAGAGTGAATGACTGGGGTCATTATCTAAACAAAGGCAACAATAAAAGCACTGTTAAGATTTGAAACACTAAATTCTTGTAATGAAATAACACATCATCATGCTTGTTCAGCAAAAAGCACACCAGCACAGTGCTGCAGGAGGTCAGCATGTAGAAAGTGGAACTGGATATTCAATGGACTGTGGTTTAGGAGACGTGTGAGATACAGCTGAAGTCCAGTGGATAGTTTCCCTTCAACTTAACATTCAAACACATGCACACACCTTTTTTCTACACAGAAAAGCCTGCTCTTGTAAGAATAATGGAAAGGCAAAAGCAGTAGAAATACACCAGAAGGAATGATCATCAACGAGAAAGGCAGGAAGGTCCACGGTCAGCTCCTCCTCCTCCTCCTCCTCCTCCTCACAGATATCTACACTTCCTCAGAGTCCAGGATTCATCATCTCAGGCAGACATGGAAGAAAAAAAATCTTTAATTGTGAGCAGAACCACTCAATGAAGTATGTAAATTGGCTTCAGCCATCTTTTAAAAACTTAAATTCCTTTTACATTGTCCCAGTAAACTCACAGAAGATGGATGATCCCTCAGATGAGATCTCACACAGTTCAAAGTAGGACAATAAAAGAGTGTGCACTGAAACAGAGAAATACTTGGCAAAAGTACAGAGTCTCTAACAGAGGTGGCATCCAATTCCTGTTTCATTGGACACTTTGATCAAGAAGAGACACAGAGTAAGAAAGAGTGCATGATGAGAGTGATGTGAACCACTCCCAGTACGCGTGGTTTTCCAGACTTAAAGACATTTAAGGTTAAATCTTGGCTACACTGGGTTTAAAAGCGAAACTATATTTCATGCATCAAGGTTGCATATAACTTTTGTTTCAACAAGCATTTATATGAATATGTTGGGACCTGCTTCACATTAAAATAAAGTGTAGTGTTCTTGACGCAAGGATTGTATGTAGCTTAGATGTCTAAAAACATTCCTTTATCAGACCTGCATATCACCAAATCAAAACTTAGCATGGTTTAATCATGTTACTATATGCTTAATAAAAGACACAAGGAGAAAATTTCATGCAGTTTTATTTATTTCTTTATTACAAGACACAGAAACAATCCAAACCTTTCCATCTATACATCCATCCATTATCTATACTGCTTATAGTCCATCACAGGGCTCAATCCTAACATTTGAAACATCAAAATCAAGAGTTTATGTCTAAACTACTCCCATGTTGTGAACACATGAGTGGTCAGTAAAAAACGTGGGCCATATCAGCTGAATGTTGCACCGTGTGATGGCAGCCGCTATTGCAGGCTGTAAGTCTGCTTTCTGTCTCGGAGGTCAAAGGTGACCAACAGTGAGCGGGGATCCTTCTTGTTTTTACGCACCGTGATCTTTCCCTGGAGCTCCTCCCCTAACGAAAACAGCAGAGAGAAATACCAGTGTCAATGCACGGTTTGTTCTGCACTAATACAGTAAATTCACTGGAAAGTCCTTTGTCGTCCGTGATGTGAAGGTGCTCATCATGAAATCAGCTGCTATGGAAAACTGTTAGCTTGAGTTATGACAATGGGCGTTGATTACTACTGTGCATAAATGTTCACGTTCAACACTAATACCCTACTTTTTCTCTCCATGGCCACATATTTTTTGGAATAGCATTTTAGGTATGCATGTAGTGTATCAAATTATGTGATGTACTTATTTCTTAAGTTTGTTATAACAACAAGTGGGTAGATGAATGTTCACTAGAGAAAGTTAAGTAAATAAAAGTGTTAAATTAATAAAAGTAATTTGATTTCCCTCTGATAATCATCCACACTATGAGGACTGTACTCTCTATGCCGTAATAGCACACTGCAAAAACATCAAAAGGCAAAACATTTAATTGAGCCAGACATCAATTATCATGTTCATAATAAAAAAGAAATAAACCACTGCTCATAAAAAGAAATCTCCCTGACACCCTGCAGCAGTACAGTGCTGCTGAGCTCAGGCTTCTGCGGCATGAGCAGAGACATGTCGGCACTTATAGAAACGATGATGTGTGCAAAGGCAATGTGGTTTAATGCATGTTAATAAGCAAGACTGTGTATGAGTGTGTATGTGTATGAATGCAGACACCCACAAAAATATCCAGATGGCACAGAGACGGAAGCGCGTTTACAGTATGACCGAGGAGCTGGGAAAAGACACTGATGATTATGACGCACAATCACTCTGATCAACTTCATGTTTGACTGCTGGAGGTAAATGAATGCTTATCCAAATGGCAAACAAGCACCACCCCCAATCCCCACACCTCCCCTCTGCATGAGGTTATAGGAGGACGGGAAGTGGAAATGCTGACTGTGACAATTTCTCAAGTGAAGCGTCCGCCATCACTGCTGTCACCGCTCACTTGTTACCATGCCAACACACTGTCACTGAGTCTGCTGCTGGCGCCACACTCTGGGTCTGTCACTCCACTGCAGAGCGGGCAGAGGGCCACAGAGTTTAACACTGCTGCTGCTACCGGCTGCTTTTCAAACAACAAAAACCACAGCATACACCTAATGAACAAGGCCTAAATTCTAAAGGAACCGTGTAGTCAGATTTGGGCGCTGAATATACAGTAAAGTTATTTTGTTAGTGAGGTGCTAGAATCGCTCATGTGGTTAAAACTGCAGAGGAGGAAACTACAATCTGTGTAATGGATCTTTAGCAATAAAGCACTTTTCAAAGTAATGGTAGACAGTGCTATATAAAGCCAACAAGTAACCAAACCAAGAACACATGCAAATTATTATTGTATATCTTCCACATTAACAAAATGGTTGGGCAGGCTGTTCCCAGGCTGATCCATTTTTGCCCTCATTCCTCAAGGAATTAACAACTCCACAAAATAACAGAGCCAAGCGACGTCATGTCTTAAGAGTAATTAGAAAAATATTGAAACTGATCTTAAAACACACTATTCAACATAAAGATGCTAACAAAGCAGAAAACAAACTGATGCCGTCTAAAAAGGAGCTACAGTTGTCTCAACGCATTAATGACTTCTTCAAAATCACTAGAAAAAAAGTATTGGCTGTATCAAAGGTCTTAATAAACTAAACTGTTAGATTTATGGCTTTCTCATATATTTAGCTAAATACTGTCTGAGCCTTGACCAACAGCTTTTTATTGTAGCCAACAGATAAAAATATTCCAGGGCTGCGAAGATGTAGCCTGTAATAATAAACAAAAAGATGCTGTTCCCCCACTCCATTATCAACTTAATGAACTGGGTCAGCGGTCGACACAATGGACACAACACAGGCCGACTGTAACAAAAACCTACTCAATTATACACATTGTGCGCGTTTTCTGTGTGGTGATCTCTTTGTAAAGGCTGATGTATGGTCTTGTAGGATCCTGACGAGAGCTCCCATCTCTACAATCTGAAAAAAATCCACTGGAACCAGCCAGTGGTTTGAGATCGTCTTCCTTCAGCCAACCCTTGTTCTATATTTCAAGTGGTCCTCAACCTCACGCAGTATTAATAAAAAAACTGCTAATGGGCATCTACTGTAAACATAAATGCATCAGTATGACAGCATGCAATGGCCACCATTCATTATGAAAAAGATCTGGCTTTGCAGCCTAGGGCTTCCATGCAGCTTGACAAAGGACAAAAGGATTCAGCTACACTACAGGCAAAGCTGAGAAATGTTTTATCTGTAATGTCTTCTGACGCAACGTGAGCAACAGCCAGACAAAAACTAATTTCAACAAAATAGAGGGAGCATCTGGCCTCCCAATTCCTTATGATGTATCCTTTACAAATAACTGTTCCAAAAAACACTATTGTGTGTTTGGCAGTGTATGTAAATTACATGCTCAACACAAGACTCCCCACATTGCAGACTGATGAGAGCCCAGATACGATCAACTACTACTACCGCATGTGTTAAACTCACCTGTGAGCATGACTCAAATGTTAATGACATTTTAGCACCGTAACATTTCTGGATACATTCCATTCAATGTCTATAAAGTCAAGAATTCCCCAATTAAACAAAACAACAAAAATGTTGCTTTCTCTGATGTTACAGGAAATGACAAAAGGGGCCTCAATTTCACACTATCGGTAGTCTGGTAAGAGCAGCGGAGCTTGGTGCTCTGGAGAGGCAGCGAATGGCTCCAGTCAAACTCAAGTTTGCAAAAGGTCGATAAAGGTTGAGGGAATAATTGGTTGACCTTTGATAACCTTTTGTTAAAATAAAACAGTTAAAAAAAGAGGTTTTGGAATCAAAGACTTTTGCCCTAAAATAACTGTTAGCGACACGTCCAACTACTCCTTCATATTTGAGATTACATACAACCACAGATCAAGTGTCTGTTCACTTAAGCAACAGCAGCAGCTCTGCGGTAATCAGTCAGACCAAACTCCCCATGGAAGAAGGCCTCGGTGCCTTCAGTAAACTGGCCACTCAAATGCTGGGAGAAAGAGTTAACCATGTGTGGAAATGAGTCGAGGAATGGAGCCGGCCTTTACCGCAATGTCGTACATCAACATGCCAGTGTCATTAAATAGAACCAAGCGCAGAGAAACAGCCTTTTCAGGCCAATACAGCCTTTAACCATGAAATGATACTGCAAATACACAACCTGCATTAGTGATTCATTTGAACTGCTGTCATTTACATATTAACCATTTAGCTCACACTCCTAAAGTAACTCTAGCTCCACAGAGTGAATGTGAGAGTCGACTCTTCTGCCCTGCTTCAATACTAAGGCTCTTCATTTTCAGGCTTCATAGATTTTCACAGAAATGCCCAGGTTTTCTTCAAGAGAAAAGACCGGTGTCACCCAGATATAAAGAATGTCATCAGCATTGCTATTTTACTACCACTGCAGACATAATGCGGATCAACAATGTCCCCCAACCTGATTTGTACCTTTTATACAGAATATGATGGCAACATACCATCACAATCCCACCTTGAACATGAAGTGTAAAAATGTTTATAGACACAAATGGCAATTCTCTCAAGGATCCTATAGCTTCTCTAAATAACAACAGCACTTAAATGTGACACAGGACTAGACTATTCTCTTGCAGACTTCCACTGCAGTGCAATTTCAGTCTAATCTCTGAGACATTCTCCCACTTGTTCCAGTTTTTACTTCTCATATTTTTCCTGTTCACTGCAGAGCTAAGAAGCAGAGTTGATGGACTGTACTGCAAGCACCAGTCTAACAACACAAAACTGGCTTGACTGCTGCTGTTCAAAAGTTCAAGGTCCTTCAGAGTTCAAACAAGCAGGGACAACATGGCGGAGAAGATGTGTTTACGCTGAGCCTGAACAGGTGAGGGCGGGGGTGGAGAAAATCTGGCAAATACTGCACCTCTCAGGACACAGTTAGGAAAGTGGGAGGGAACAAATGCCATCCAACCATCCAATGAAAGTAGTGACTACAATGCACAATCACATTTCAACAGCTGTGAGCAGCCCTCTGCGCAGGTAACCAGAGCACCGCCTCACCTCAAGGATCATGGGCCTTTCTTACACAAAAGTGTGACCTCGTTTCTCAGGTGAACATTAAGCAGTTAAAACTGTGAAACAGGAGGCTCCTCTTCAATACATGAGCTACACAAACAACAGAGCATGACAAATGATTTGCTGTTTAATTTATTATGCTGCCAGTTGAGAGAATTTGCAGGGGTGTTTTGTTCCAGCCGGCTGCGTGCATTTTCTCTCTTCCGCTAGCACCTCCCAAAGAAGCAAAGCCTCAGAGTTAATTACCGCTGCACTCGTACAAACATATCAAATAGATTTCAGTCTCTGTCACAATAAATCACCACAGACAGAGTCGGTATTAAAACAAACCACTGGATATTTGTGTCTGGCCCTCACTACAACTGATCTGAGCGGAAGGTGCTTCTCAGTCAACATCCAGGAGGACAGGCCTCTCTGTGTGTGAGAGTTTTGTCATCTTCAGTGTGACTTTAGGAAGTTCTCTGTCACGGCCCAAGGGCAGTTTGGTAAGGAAGTATACAAAAATGGTAGTGAATTTGACTGTGTAGGGGATCTGTGTGTGTGTGTGTGTGTGTGTGTGTGTGTGTGTGTGTTGTAAAGTACACCATAGGAGCATAGCAGGCAGCTGTTAAAGAAATCAATTTCTGGTTTACAGCCCCTAGGTGGCTGGGGACTTTGGAGGTGCTGGGGTAGAGCGAGCACATCAATAAGCTGCCGCTCACTAGCTCACTCCAGCCTTCATTTTCATCTTCCTTTGAACTTTTTCTGCGCATATTGCTTGGTTCACAAGCACAGCATACACCTAGACCGACCAATCATCAAATGCAATTTGAGCTTTACAGATGACTGACAAACTAGTAAAACAGAAGAAATGGGAACAGCAAAAAATGATTTTGAAAAGAACTGAGACTAATGCCCATGACAAGTTTTATAAAAGATCAAATGTAATGAACCTAAAAATAATAAAATAAATACTAGATAAACCAGATAAAAGACAATTATAAGAAATATAAGAAGGAATAAAATATTTTAAAAGATGAGTAAACAGAATAAATACAACTTGTAAAATGTTCTAATCAAAAGTTTGAGTTTAAAGCCCTCACTTCCAGCTGCAGAGGGTTCCAACACCTTGGAGCTTAACCAGTAAACTGCCTCACCAAAGATTTTTGTCCTGCACTCTGGAACAACTAAAACAAGAGGAGAGGTGCGAGGTCATCCATTCATAGACTGAAAAGATGGTAGACAAGTAAACTGGTGGGAGACCATGAATTGCTTTAAAAACTAGTTAAAGAAGTTTAAAATCAATACAGATAGTGACAGGTAACCAATGAAATATATAGATCTTTATAGACTCGGCACAAGTTTACATTAGACTCAGCTAGATCAAAACTGACTGGTTCTGAGCTCAGGCTGTGAACGTGTGTTTTGGCTAACGCCCTAACATCTCACTATATGCACACAAATTACCCCGGGAGCTCACATGCTCTGCTGACTGTAAAATCAGGCTGAAGGTAAAAGAAGAAAACCAGAGAAAGAGT